TTTTTTTTTTTTTTTTTTCTGGTTTAGGATTAGCACCGAAGGGTTTTGACTGTGCTAGTAAGGGGAAGGAATGCTACAGTTTCAGAACGAAGGATTTTTTATTTTTTTTTTTTGAAATGGTTTCTCTGCAATTGTTTCTCATCATAAAAAAAAAGATAAAAACGAGGAGCGAGAGACCAGAGCAAGGGCGTCACTGTCCCTTCCGAAATTTCGCAGGGGCAGATCTGTCACTTGCTGTGCCAAGGATCAACATCTGGCATTTATCACGGAAATAATCCAAATACCCCCCCCCCCCCCTCCCTCCTATGTTTTTGGGTAGGATTCGTCTTAGTGATTTTTCTCTCGAAAAATAAAAACAGGTTCAGATCGGACAAAATGTCATGATCTGTGTGCAAATAAATGACGGTTTTTCTATGAGTAGAACAAGAAAAGGTTTAACGAATAAAAAAATTAAATTCTCCTGAGAAACCATAACAAGTCAATAAAGTGAAAACAAAACAAATAAAAATGCACAAAAAACGAATTCCAGCTTCCTCGATAATCATTTTCATATTTCAATACAAAATTCATTATCCGTAAATTGACATACAGGAACGGATGGAGAGGGGTTTAATATTAATTTTCAATACTAAATTCATATATTTGAACTTCCTCGATATTTTGTAATATGCAGAGTTGGGCTCGTAAGGGTATATCTGCAAATATGCTTTTCGTCTGCTTTTTGCAGTTGCAGAGTTGGACTCAAAAGGGTATATCTGCAAATATGCTTTTCGTCTGCTTTTTGCAGTTGCAGAGTTGGGCTCGTAAGGGTATATTTACCAGTGGGACCTCGCCAAAGAGGACTAGAAAACGCTGGGGCTCTCCGCAAAGATGAAAATTTCCTTTTTGTTCTTTTTATTAAAAAAGAAAAACGGCAACAACAAAGACGAGATTTCACCCCAACTACTACAATTCTGCCTGGTCGTCGACAAATAGAGCGCACATATCTGTTGCTGTCAACAAAAAAAACACAAAGAATTCACAACCCTCCTCCGGGAATCCTTTGTTGGATATAAAATAATGAAACGGGGGGTTTTACCCTACCCGCCGTACGCGGGTTTCGTTTTCTGGTTATTTAGAGGGGGGAAATGAAGGAATAGGTTTGCTACCGTCTTCCCTTGAATAGAACGCAAGGTGATTATTGTTTTACCTCGACTTAAAGGTGCCCCGCAAAAAAAAAATATTACAGCGAAAAAAGAAAAAAAGAAGGGGCAGCTCAGCTCTGTTTGATGATATATACATATGTATCGCCAGACAGAGCTGTGCCCGGTGAACCGTAGGCAGAGAGGGAGAAGAGGACAACAGAGGGGCTGTGTGTGACAAACTGGTTCGTCGGAGTTTCACCGACTGACTCATCATAATGGTTTAGGAATAGGAATGCCAACATTGTGATGACGAACAAGGTCATCTGCTGTATATAGATATATGTATTTGGGATTGCTTTTTTTTTTTTTTTTTTTTTGCAGGCAAGAGTGTTTTGATATCCTGGTTGGTCTTGTCCCGTCGTTTCGCCTGCGAAGTTCGGGGCGATGCTTACATGTGGGGCTTGTCATCCAGGATCTTGTTGCCCTCTGTTTTGTTATATTTGGGGCTGTTCCCTTCCTCTTTTCTTTGCCT